AAAAACATGCGCCCCTAGCCCTTCATGTTTGCCTGCGCTATGACATAGATGCAATTGATTACTTAGGTAGAAAAAAATATATTGAGTTAAAATTATTTATATATACTTTTTTAAGCATAAAGTCGAGTGCAATAAAAACATAATGATGTAAATGAAAAATTATAGAGCACATAGATATCAAAACCTTAGATACCACTATATCTTTCCTCCCGTTGTAACGTACGGGCACTTTTGCTAGTTATAAAAAAAGATCATTGTAGTATTCAAAATTTGGTCAACAAAACTTGTAATTGTAGATTTAGACAGCTACTAGTGAGGTCCATGTATATCAAATAAAAAAAAGGCTCACCTTTTATCTATTTGCCTTAATTATATATGTATGGACAATTATTGAGCCAATTACCCATGTAACAACTAATTTTTTTATAGATGTCTATTGGGCCTGTTTAGAACGTGAGAATTTTTTTTTTTGTTCCTACGTAATTGAACTAATTTATGTAAAATTTATATATAATTCCTGCGTTCAAATGAACTCTAAATAGAGACGCCTGGGTCATTGAGTTCCACGCTAGTATTTGCTAATATTTCTGAAATTTTATAGAATGACAACTTTTGTCGGAGGGAGTAAATGAAGATTATGTCTGAATCTATAAAATATAATATAAAAGCTTTCTTATAAAAAAATCGAGATGAATCTACACGTACAGTTCCACATCACAACTTGATATTGTCAGTGATCTATCACATGCTTTGTACTTGTAGTCAAACAAGACAAAGCTAATTGATATTTTGTGTGCGAAGAAACTTCGAGCTGTACCGGGTCAAAGGAAGATATTATTTCAATGGAAGACTTGAAGGTTTCAAGGCAACCTAAATACTCACTTTTGTTAACCGTACTCTAGGGAAAAAAATGTTCAACTAAAAACTAAAACAGCATGGAAACAAAAAAATTGGAATTCAATTTATTTTCGAAAAGTTTATACGAAAATTACAAAATTCAGGAGAAAGATATTTTTGGTCACCGACAGGTGGGGCAGATTGTAGTAGGTGGCACAACTAGCCAGCAAATGGGTCCCGCTCCGACTTCAGGTTGCCGGCCAATCAGATCGGAGAGCTGTATCCGCGCGTCGAATGCCCATGTGGCCGAACGCGTGGGCCCAAGACAGACAACTCTTATGAATCACTGGAGTACCCCCTCACTGTCACTTGGCCCCGCTTCTGTTTGGACCCACACGTCATAAACATCTGCGGAGAACACGCGAGTCACATGGTTGGTGTAGCCATCCGTACTCGGAATTAACGTAAATTGACTGTGCTCTCTTCGCGTCATCCGAGAGAAGGAAGAACACGGGAAGGAGTGGCAGAAGTAAATTAAAATTAAAAAAAATATACAAATGGTATGCAAGAGAGATAAAGCTCAGATCTCTAGCCGCAGTTCAACGCCCCAATCCTCCCTCTCAGTCCACCCCCCTTGGTGCTTCCCAACTCCCAAGCCCTTGGTGCTCACCAAGATTCATCTCTTCCACCGTTGTATCCCCCAATCTCCTCCGCAGGGAATATATTTTGTTTTGGTTTCCAACCCCCTGCTGCTAGATAGGAACTCTTTCCTCCCCTTTCTACAGCAAGCGATTTTGTGTTCTTAGTTGTAGATTGGGCGCGAATTTCCTTCCATTCGTGGGTGATTCAGGCATTCGGATTCTATTCTCGGCGCAATTTGTTCCTGTATCCGGTCTTGCCAAGAATTTTCCATCTACCTCTTGGCTTTCTGATCCATCTTTGATGCGCCAAGAGGGGAGATGAACACGAATTACTCGGCGCTCCCATTGACCTCCCCCTCCATCGAGCTCCAATCCAACGGGGCCAAATCTAGCGCCGCCGCCAATGGCGTCCTCAACGGCCACGCTAAGATCTCCAAGCAAGATTCGTTCTTGGGCGAGGTGGAGGACGGCGGCGGGGAGCACGACGAGCTGCCGCTGATCGGAGACGGCCCCGCCGGGCCGCCAGAGGGTCCGGCGTGCCCGCCGCCGTGTTCAACCTCGCAACATCCATCATAGGGGCCGGCATTATGGCGCTCCCGGCCACCATGAAGGTGCTCGGCGTCGCCGCTGGGCTCGTCTCGATCCTGGTTATGGGGGTCCTGTCCGAGATCACCGTCGAGCTGCTCGTGAGGTTCTCGGCCTACTGCCGTGCGCTGTCCTACGGCGAGGTCGTGCACAGGGCGATGGGCCGGCCGGCGAGCGTCGTGGCGCAGATGTGCGTCATCATCAACAACGCCGGAGTCCTGGTGGTGTATCTGATTATCATCGGGGACGTGATGTCAGGGTCACTGAAGCACATCGGTGTCATGGATCAGCTGATTGGCCATGGCGAGTGGGATAACCGGAAGCTGCTGATCTTGGTGGTTCTTGTCATCTTCCTAGCGCCATTGTGTGCGCTTGAGAAGATTGACTCACTGAGCTTGTCATCTGCCGCATCAGTTGCCCTTGCTGTTGTGTTTGTGGTTGTGTCCTGCATCATTGCTTTGATCAAGATCGCCGAGGGCAAGATCAGTATGCCGAGGATGGGGCCAGATTTCAGCTCGCGAGCAGCAATGCTAGACCTGCTCGTCGTGATACCCATCATGACTAATGCCTACATCTGCCATTTCAATGTGCAGCCGATCTACAATGAACTCAAGGAGAAGACGCCCCAGAACATGTACAAGGTTGGGAGGATCAGCACTGTGCTATGTGTAGTGGTGTATGCCCTGACTGCCCTCTCAGGGTATCTCTTGTTCGGTGAGGACACCGAGTCCGATGTGCTCACCAACTTTGACAAGGATCTTGGGATCAGATTCAGCTCTTTGCTCAACTACATTGTCAGGATTGGGTATGTCATCCACCTGGTCCTCGTTTTCCCAGTTGTCCACTTCTCGCTCAGGCAGACAGTGGACGCACTGATCTTCGGGGAGCTGGCGACCCCTAGCAGGAAGAAAACACTCACATTGACAGTGGTGCTTCTAGCGCTCATCTACCTTGGCTCGACAATGATACCCAACATCTGGATGGCTTTCAAGTTCACCGGAGCTACGACAGGGTTGGCGTTGGGTTTCATGTTCCCGGCTCTGGTGGCATTGAGGCTGGACAAGGAAGGGAGTCGCTTGGGACATGGGGAGAGGCTCCTGTCACTTGGGTTGCTGGGGCTATCAATAGTTGTTAGCGTCATTGGAGTCGTTGGAAATGTATACACCTTGAAGAGTAAGTCTGAATGATCTCTCAAAGATGGACAAGTTGATAGCTAGGGTTAGAGGAAGCTTTACATCATGACGACACATGGTGTGTTGCAACGACAGTCATACAGATCGTGTAACATGGCGACTATACACTAGGTCAAAATTGATATTACATTCGAGAGAGCCTCAGGATCCTATATGCATTTTTACTTAAGAGGATTAACACTGGACCATCCTCGAGGGAATTCTTTTTGTACTTCAGACCAGATTCTTCGATGTATCGATTTGATTGTGTTCTTACATGAGGGTTCTAGAGTCACTATTTGATCAGCAACAAAAAAGACCGGTTCTGATGTACTGTGAGAAGATTGCTTCCCCAAGTCATTAAGTTAGGCTGTTTGGGGGCATACAATTCTTAACACAATTTTTATACGAAACATGCATCCAATGACACATGATATTGTCTGCCGTGTTATGAAATTCAAGAAGTTTGCAACATTACATTTTCATTTTCTGGATGTTGGTTCATATGTATGCACAGCTGATTATCAGCCTGAAGCTCTGAAAATTGTTCAGCATTTTTCATGACTGTATATTCTCATTAAACACCCCGTATTTAGAAACGGGTGCATCTAAGTTGCAAACGCTGGCCCCGTTCGGCTGGCAGAATTTTGGCTGAAAAACACTGTTCTGGCTGAATTGTTGCGAGAGAAAAACATTGTTCCGGCTGAAAAAAGAAGCCGAACAAGCCGAATACGGAATAAGCCGAACGGGTACAACAGCACTTTTCAAAATTATAAAAAACTGGAATCTGTGAGATTATGTAGAAGGTCCACGGAAAAGTCAGCTGCAAAGTCGATTAGATTTGTGAGTTAGAAAAATTCAGGCGCAACAAAGCTACACACTGTTCACAACCACATCTCAAAATCTCAAACACGATCTGAGTTTGAATTTGCTTTTTATATTGTTGCACAAAATAACAGATCATAACAGTGATTGTTTTCAGAGATTCTTGGGGGAGAAATCTACGTAGTGTTTCTAATATATTTGCAAACTTGGGTACATTTTGGATATTTTCACGAGTTCGTTTCGCTAAAATTTGACTTATGCTAATGTTTATGCTGATTTGCTGTGAGAGGAAAATACCGTTCGTTCGCTGAAAAGTACTGCTGAAGTAGTTCAAGCCAACAAGGCCGCATTTCTTGCAGGACGGTGTTTGATACATCAGTTTGTTACAAAAGGATGACACAAATGTAAAACTACAAAATTGTTACATCACGAGATGGAGCTGTTTTGGTAGCTATCAATGTTTACCAAGTGGACTCCTTGCTGCGTAACTGCTACAGAAAAATTGTAAGCATAGAGTATATAGCCATGGCTGCTGCTCAACGATGCTCCAATATCTGTGCGGACAGCTTGGACTGCCATGATTGAGAACGTCCAAATCCGTTTTACTGCCATCTCCAAAACTAAGCTATACCCACTTGCTCAATCCAATGGCCACAATTCCTGCAGGTATTAGACACCACGTATGCCCTGGTATGTGGAGCTCCGGCCTATTTAGGGACAAAAGAAAATAGATTACGAAGCTGCAGAAGAATATATAAAGAAGCTCGCTGAGACAACCAAAATGTCAATGGTAAGTTGAGCTCTGAAAATATTCTACCTCCAAAAAAATGAAGCATTACAATTTACAAGTGTTGTGAGAAAAAAGGAAGGTCAAAATCTAACCAGTCAGTAAATGAAGCGAACTTGTTTCACAAAACAAATGACAAGGAATCACCTGCTACTAAAATTGTGAGTTACTGAGGAATGTAACCATGCATCGTGCACCCTGAAAGATCTTATCAATCTTCTGCCAAACTAAGCTCTGGACCTCAAGAAGCTTCTTCACCTTACTCTGAAGCATTGAGTGACGTCGTATTGTTTCACCATGTATCTGCTTCCCAAAAAAAAAAGACTTCTAAGTACAAACTTGATGGGTTAAGATGTTATGTACTTATTATCACATGCCTTTGAACATAATTTTAAACCAGTCAAAACAATGCACAGATATATACCTTCAAAAACAATTTCAGAACAGCTTGGACAAACTCGAAGTTATTCCTGAAGGAAAGTTCATGAATGAAATAATCCAACAGCGATAAAATGGACTGAAGCTCAGGTCTTTGCTCCAGATCTTCAGACTCTTCGTCATCTATTATCTGTAGCATTCGCAGTTCCATATCTAAAGATGACGGTGACAGGCCTTTCAGGTAGTCAGTAAAAGCCGAATCTGCAAAACAAATTCGAGGTCAGTGCTTAAAATCACGAGCATCAGTCTCTAAAAGCAACATAGTGAGAATGCATCTCCAGATATTTATCCTTCTTTCTGGTTGCATATGATGGTTAGAGTCATCAGATATACGGGATTGAACAACAATGACAGTATGACAGCAACCTTTTATAGGATTAACAAGCTAAGCCTTACAAGTGTTATTAAGGAAAAATTACTTGAGTAAAGATGGATTTAATAATAATGACAGTATGGCAGCAACTTTTTATAGGATTAACAAGCTAAGCCTTACAAGTGTTACTAAGGAAAATTTACATGAGTAAAGATAATAGTAAATACTCACAGTCCTTTGTTTCACCACAAGATTGCAACAGCTGACTGAAATGAGAGGAGAGCTCAGACATCTTGTGATATGTATTCTTAGTGGTACTGATGTCTGTTTCTTTTGTGCTGGCAGGGGGCTCAAACAATATCTCCCCAGAAAGGGATGGAACTGAAGGCAAGAAGAAAGGTGCCTTCTCAGGTTTCTTAGGTGGCTCAATTGGTTTATTGCGAACCTAAAGACATAATACAAAGGTTAGGACATTAATCTAGTTTTTCAACACAATAAAGCTCTTTTATATAAGGTTTAAGCAATCAATATAGTATAGGCCACATAATTCATAACTTTGCAATGTTGAAACCTGAAAAGCTAGAACCAAGACAAGCATATTACCTTTATAATGTCAAGATTTGTCAAACTTTGCCATTGACTCTTTGGAAGTAAGGAGAGGGTGACTAGATTGGGTATTTGATGATCCATTACGACAAAAGGTTTAATACTGGACTTATATGACTCTCCTGAATTCTGAACTTGTTCTTCCTCGGATCTCTCTGCAGATGAAACAGTTGGCAAACGCACATTCCGTACATGTTTACCACTGCCATAATTTTCAGTATTTGTTGAGGCCGAGAATAAAGATTGATTAACCCTGTCAAATTTATAACACATGTATGAGACCACAGATGAAAAAAAAAACTGGAAGAACACTATATATATCACGGCGTATAAAATTGCATGCTATGCCACACAACTCTAATTCGGTGCATATGTTGAAACAGAGTGTACTGATAATACTATTCCGTTGGCTATAAGTGAGATGAATAACACATTTGTGCAAATTGCACCAGCTGGAAGGCCAATCTCATGAATTTTTTTTTCTGAACTATATATATAGCTACAAAATGAATTGAGATATGCATGGGTGATATAATTGGCTGAGCATAGGGTGATGCAACAGAACTCTACCAGAGGTAGACACCATTTTGATCAACATGAGTGGTTGCCAACACATCCATATTAGGAGACATAGAGATAGATGTTATAGATACATCAACATGCATTGCATCTATCTGCCTTGCTAAACTTATGTCCCAAATCCTAAGAGTCCCATCCATGCTAGACGAGATGAGCCATTTTCCATCCTCACTGAAGCACAAATCAGTGATACGGTCTGTATGTCCTTCAAATCTACGAACCATTTTCATGGACACCGTATCAAACAATATAAGTACCATATCACCTGCTACGGTAGCAAGAAGACCTGCCCATAAATAGCAAATAATTGTTAGTTGTCTGAAAACTTCCTCATGGGAATACCAAATATGTTGAACACTAGTATACTACCATTTGGCCGGTGAAATGCAATTTTAGTGACAGATTTACCAACATCCAATCTGGATTTCAGCTTGCAAGTTTTAAAATCCCATAACTGCAAGATACACAATTTTATAGTTAATATAATTGTGGCCAAAATTTCATTGAGACTTTTAAAGAAAAGTTCAAAAGTGAGTAAATTTGATAAAAAAAAAGGTGGATCATACACGGCTATTGTTGATTGTAGGGTTAAAATATTTTGAAAGATAATATGTAAATGCCAAGGAAACAATTTAACTAGTTGACCCAGAAAATGAAGAGCACAGTTCTCCGTAACCGTAATGTTCATGCCTGCTCACAACAAGAAGCACACTACAGCACAACAAAGTGTCATACCTTAATATCACCATGGTATCCCGCACTAATTAGAGAGCCATTTGTGGCATCGCAAGCTAACCCAACAACTTCACCATCATGTGCACATTGCATTGCCAACGAAGTGTCAATGTAACAACCACGACTAAACCCTGATTGAAGGTTAAATTTTTCGATCCAACCACCTTCAGTGCCCAAGATAGTAAAATTACCACATGCACTTATCACACAAGCCTGTCAGAAAAAGGAAATGATGCTTCAAAAAGCAAATAATAGCACTTGAATTTTAGGAATCACATTTTCTAGTCTACAATGAAATCCGATAGATGCAAAACTTCAAAAACAAGCATTACCTTAATCGGTGTCACAGTGCTTGATGATGGTGTCAAAACATGTTCACCAATAACGAAGTTCTGAAGACGCCATACATATGCCTGTGGAGTATCCATGTGGCATGTGACAACATTACACCAGTCACGCGTACGATCTCAGCTGAAAAAGAGAGGGCAGTCTAAATGTTAGATTTGCACAGCATAGACAGGTATATAAACAGAAGATATGCGATCTGTGAAATATCTTAAGAGGTCAAAGATGTATAACTAACATCTCAGGCACAATTTAATCCGTTAGGTGATAGCAGTGCGGTGCTGTGCCATTGATTGTGGCAGTTATTGATAATCACTACATTTAGTAAGTTTGTTGCATAAAAAATAAGCAAATGGCTAAGAGCGCTCATGAAACGATTTCTCGGGTAGCATTTGCAATGTCATGAGAGCTAGGCAACATGTCTGCCGTTGCCGTGTCTGGTATCTTACAAACAACATGATAGACGATACTAGAAGGCCCATACTGGATAGCATCAGAAGTCACTTCAACCAATCTTTGTTAACATGAAGCCCTAACCTTAGCAGCAATAAGCTACAACACTGAGATTGTTTGTCCAATGATATGCCAGCCTAAGGTGCTTCCTAGTTTAAGTTTACCTACTTCTGCAACTTATATTTCAGCTATTGCTCTCCTCCCGCCCCTTTCCAAGATATCCACATTTTGGTAACATTATATATCATATAATGAGATGAAGGTCATGCAGTTTGTTGGATGAAAAACTCTACAGCCAATTATCGAGATAACAGTAACACTTTTCGACACAAAAATATATCTTAAATCTCCTGCTTTTATATGCTCCCCAAAAAAAACTTGCTATGCAAAGCAGCAGAATTTATATGATGAGTGTGGATTCTGCATCCAGGGGTTCTGGCACTGCCATCAGCGAATTCAGCATTTTGCAATCTTCCGAAATTCCATAAAAGAATCAGGTATCCAGTATACAAAGTTAAGACAACCTGCAAAAATCTAATTTCAAATTCACATGAAGTGTGACATTGCTCATCATGTGCTAATATACTTCCACTTGTCTTTTCTGAATCCTGACAGCAAAGGTGAAACTGAAATCTGAACTGAATTTCTGCAGGTTCTACGTACATGGTATATTTATGTAATTAATCTTTTAAACATTCCAACATGTTGGAATGATCCTATTTTCACTATTGGCATGCCGGCTCCCCTGGATACCAGTGAATTTTCTTAACGATATTAGCATAATATTAAGAATTTTTGCAACTTGCAAGAAACCAAAATAGTACCGCAGATCAAATGTAACAACTGGTTTTAGCTTGATCTCTTCCTCCTGCAGGAAAAAGAGAAAATTTTCAACACCCAAACAGGGGAGGGGGATTGAACGCAATAAATGAATAAACCCCAGATTTGCACCTTTACTCTTAGCCTTTTTGCTCTTTTCGCCACATGCCGCTGAGAAAGCTCTCTACTTTGTTGATCCTGTTAAGAAAAGTTACATCATGAGAATTAAAACAGAATGAGAATATTAAGTTTTTGCATCAAAAAGGGAAAGTAGCAAATCAGCCTGGTATTTGAGGCGTTCTTATAAAAACACTATTACTAAGTTATGATGCAATTAGTTACCTGGATAACTGAGAAAAGACGAAATGCACGATCTTGACCAGCAGATAATATGCATTTTCCATTGCCATAGAATCTAAAAAAATAGGTTGACTCAGCAAAAGCACAACTGACAGGAAGCAAAAGAAAAGACACAAATTGGATTGTAAGCTGCACCTTATGCACCTAGGTGGAGCACTGTGACCACTTCGAAATCGTAACAGACGAGCATCTCCATCATTACTATCGAATATCCATATCTGATAGAGCATATTAGATTAGGACCTCAAAGTTAAACGAGGCCATTAACAGGCAACATTGATAAGGGAATTGTATGTTTGTTCCCGGCTATTTTGTTAGCTGCACTTATTAGCAGGCTATCAAGTCGGATGCTAGTTGTCAGAAAGAAGATTCTTGTTGCCCCTGCCCATGTTAAAATATGTAAGGCGAGCCAGGCTAACATTGAAATATTGCAACCATACAAGAAAATATACTCCTCGATGTGAGGCATAATGGCCTGCATAATTTCAGTACTACTGAACCATTATGAAGATAAAGCGTGCAAAGGTTTGCAACTTCCAAGTGATTGGACAGCTGGTGAAGCTGGGTAAGTACACAGTGCATGCAGTTTTCTACCATACAGCAACTGAGAAGTGAAACCAAAACAGGCACTAACTTTGATTGAATTATCAGCAGCTGAACTCATCAGAATAGGTTCGTCAAGAAAAAGTGAAGTGAAACTATTGAACCATCATGGGCCTCCCTAATCACAGAATGCAGCCGTCTCTTCTCAAGATTCCATATGCTGATAACGCCTGAAGAACCTCCAGAGGCCAAAAGGGGTTGCCCATCTGAAAAAGAGGTAAATTTGGGAAAGACCGCTTTAGCTAGTCTGAGATACAGAAGTGGTATAACATTACAATAGTGCAACTTTGGTGTAACCAAAATGGAAAGTCAGACATCATAACCAAAAAAAGAAAAATAAAACATTGATGTCAGTAAAGTATCTGGCTATCTGCCCAGCAATAAGAAAATCCAGATGTGATTCCATAATAACCCAAATGTGGGCTCTATAATTTTACAAAAATTTAGTGTCAATAAAGCAGCAAAAGTTTATTCAAACTAGGGAGGACTCTTCAACACAACCTTAATGATAAAAGTTGTGTTTTTTTTGTCAATTAAAATCTTGTTCAAGCTCCAAACAGTAAAAAAACAAAATAATCAAAATTTTGAACGCAAACAAAATAATCAAATGATATTTTTACGTTTCAAATTATAAGTCGTTTTGGCTTTTCTAGGTACATTGTTTTTTGCCATGTATCTAGACATAATATATATCTAGGTGCATAGCAAGATCTATGTACCTAGAAAAGCCAAAACGACTTATAATTTGGAACAGAGGGAATTAGTAGGTACACTGGCTAAGTTGGATCTCAGGTACTGGGTGGTACCTGCACTAACTAAAATTTTGATAAGGAACCGGTTTAGGGCTTGAGACAAGCATGTTACAAGGAAAATAAGGATTTTTGTTGTTCTTGTAACAATGTAGTTGACTAAGCACTAATAAAAATTCCATTATCTAAAGTTTTTTTTTCATTTTACAATATATTACTACATCACCTGTTCGAAAGGACAGTGCAGTCACAGCACCACGAATCTGATGGTTGAAAGACATCAATTCTTCATCATATCTTACATTATGAACATGAACTGACCCATCAGAACATCCGACAGCAACTACATCCAGAGCAGGCGAAGAGACACAACACCGAACCGGTGAATTCCAACCATTGAAATCATACAGTTTCTTTTTTTGTGCTGATATTCCACAGCTGCAAGGGCCTTCTTCGCTACCAACAATTACCTGATGCAGAAACAGACTTGTTAACAGAAAAGAAACAGAATGCAGATGAGCTTCGGAATGAATACTATTTCTGAAGCAAAACTTCAGATAGCTTCAAGCACCTTATTTAGGTAAGTATCAGGATGCATGATACATGTTGGGGTGAACTTGTCTCCCAATGATATGCTTCCAACTGGTTCACTGTTTGGTTCTGCTCCTCTGAAGGCCCACATGAATATATTACCTTTAGCATCTGCACTTAGAACATATTCTCCAAACAGGTATAGCATGTTGACCTTTTCTTCATGTCTACTCCAAGTAGCCACCTGATTGAAAGAGAATGTGGGAGACATACATTTAACTATTTAAGCTTTGTCCAAGTAGCAGTTGATGGGAATATATGGTGAGGTATGGATCTCCCTTTGTAAGCTCAGATGATCAGCATTATCCCAAAGTTCTAATTTCACATAATAATAGCACATCTTGACTACTTTCTAATCAGAAAAAAAATGAACAAGGCTTATAGCAAAGAAGAATGAGTTTGGACAGCCAAGGGACAAATATAACTTATGCCGGACAGATAGCAAAAGTTTAGGTAATGGTAGCACAGCAATTTCCGTACCTGATCAGTCCTTTTGAAAACTGCAATATCACTTCCATAAGCAGCAAATGTATAATCCTTGTAGCATGCAATAGCACGGATCTTCTTGGGCAGTTGGGGTCCTTTGATAACATAAGAAACTCATAAACGACAAGGAAAAAAACAGGAACATTAAAAAGAATACATGAACTGAAATAACAGGCTTACCAGCAAGAACCAAATTCAGCTTAGCACACTGCAGAACAAAAGGGAAAACGCAAAGTGAGTATCGCAAGCTTCTAGAATGAAATTCGGTTGCAAAGGAGGCATGTAATGGGAACAGAGCAGAGCAAGGCTCAAATGACAATCACGCAGTTCGGTTGACTACATTTATCCCCCACTAGGAGCAACAAGTAAAATAAAGTAAACTATGAACTCCGCACCAGCTCAAAACAGATTCTAGTGATTTACTACATTCACTTGCTCTCACTATTCACGATACTGAATTCCAGCAGAGCAAACCACGCCACCTCGACGCACGAATCCTTGTCGAATTTTTTTCAAACGGCGGAACAGACGGGGGAGAGCTGTAGGGTGGCGACTTACGTTATAGACGTGGAAGGCCTTGCCGACGCTGACAGTGACGAAGGTCTCGGTGCCGAGGCGCTGCACGGAGAAGGGCACGCCGCCCGCCGTGATGTAGCCGATCGCACGGAACGGCTCGAAGATCCCCATCCTCTCCTCTCCTCTCTCGGTCGTGGAGCCCCTCCTCAGGCGGCTCTGCAGCAACTCCTGTTGCCACTGCTTTTTCTAGGGTTTCGCAACGCAGGAGAGGAGGCGGGCGCGCCGGCGGCGAGGGTTTTAGAGTGGGTTTGGGAGGCAGAGCGGCGGCGGGAGGCGGGGAACGGGGGTCGGGGGTTTTCCGGGTAGGTCAGTTTGGTTGGCCGTGTGAGGTACTGAGGTGGGTCGGGTTGCGCGAGGCAGCTGCCGAACCGGGTCGGGCCGGGCCGAGCCCAAACATGTCTTTTCTCCCACTTTTTGAAATGTTTGCTTCTCTGCTTTTTTTTTCCCGACACTTTTTATATCTCGCTATTTTATTACTACATTTCTATAATCGGTTTTAAATGTCTTTACTCTATTTGATTCGATTTTTCACCACTACCTGAATTTACATTTCTAATCGGTTATTAAATGAAAGCAAGTACAACAATTTTCACCACCAAGTTAACCCAGTTAGTAATACAGTAATAATTCTATAAAATGACGCTGTATACATGTTTCACTAGGCGCATTCACAGGCGTTGCCCGAATACAATCGATGCACAGCAATTTGTTAACAGCACTAGACTATCAATATATGAACATCAAGGTGTTGATTAGAAATTCATAGAACAGAGCGAATGCCACGTGAAGAATAAGTGAATAAATAACAATAGCTTAGAAAAGTTACAACAATAATGAAGGTACCTTTTGTACCAAGCAATTTGATGTAAGCTAGAGTAACTCACGCGAGAAGTGATTAGTCATGCCACGGTAACATGGCAAAGTACAGCTATTTACCATACAACTTCTGCATCAATCTTTACTGTCAGTATCTAACATGCTTCGTATCGTAACAACAATATCCTTAACTCTGAAGCACTCACACGATCATGCACCACCAGTACCATAACCAGACCCAACTATAATTGAGGTACCCATACCGGAAAACCAAAAATTCTTTCCGTGGTTCATAACAATAACCAGACCCAAAAATGAATGAAAAGTGGGAAAATAGCTAGTGCTGCAGTGAGCTTACTAATCAATTTACAATTTTCTCGATTTACAGTTACCTTTTTCCAAACTCGTATCATGCTAAACAATGGGGGTACCGCCGAACCTGATGTACACAACAATATGAAGACATCTCATGCTATCTGTTACCTTTTCTGCACAAGCTCTCGGATATTTCCCGACTGCAGATCAGCTGATAATCGCAAGTCAAATTGTTACCTTCAACTTCTGAGCTCACCGCAAAACTACAACACTAGATATATCTGAATATTCCCGAGCTAATGGCCCAACAATGTTAACCCTGCCCAGCCAATGCTACATGGTGAACCATGTCAAGGGCACGTATAACAGAAGATGGAGCCGAGCAGTGAACAAATCCAATCTACAGTGAAACAAACACATGATCTCCAAATGATGGATCACAATGGGATAAGAGATCGAACATACTGCCGGGACGCACTGTTTCGCCCAAGGCCCAATCCTAGGCCCAACGGTGTCCTATCAGTCCTCTTACTGTGATCACAACACTGAGACGAACCCACTTGGCTATGAGGTTTTGAGTTTGCCCGAGAATCAGCGCAACTATGGTCGGTGCCATTACCATGATGTAAATGATTGTTACCATTCTGCGAAACTGCACTTGTCATCTGTATCATTCCCATTTCCTCATCGGTGTGCAATGTCTGGTCTAGCCGCTCAGTGTCCTCATTGTATCCATTTAACAAGAAGTCAGAGCAGTTCTTGCTAATCCCATGATCATACGGGTTCCTGAATCTGCCACCTGGGCCTCTGAGATATGCATATCTCATGGAATTTGCCATCTCATTTGTTGTAATGTTCCTTGCTATCTGCAAGTGAGATGGAAGCAAGGCATGAGCACAGTGCAGGTATGCCTTTAATGTATAATGGAATGATGGAATGAATGGATAGCTATAGGATGGAAGGCAACATCCTACACAGAAACCTCACAGAAAGCAAACTGGATTCTTAACCTCCATTACTTCATAATGAATCCGAAATAACATAGCAGTTTTACTCTTGATATTCTAGAGTTCGAAACCACGATCTTTACTTAGATGTTAGTGTATACTATCAGAAGCCATACACTTATGAATCATGAAAAGGCTGAAAATGGCATAAACAATACAACAAATCCAACAAGGCTTCAAAGATTTCAATGGTGAACACAAATGGCTGCAGTACCAGTTCCTTACAAGTTCGTGGTGTCTAATCAAAGTTGATGTTCCAGTTAGTGATCAAACAATATTTACAGTTTCACAAACAATATAAAATCACTCTGTAAAAGCTAACCAAGTTTCTCTGTAAAATAAAAGAAATATAAATTCAAAAAAAAAAAAAACTTTACTCATGATGCTTGAACAACTGTAAGAACTGCAACGCCAAAGAAAAGGAAACAATCCAGTGCGAGAAATGAAACCACCCCAGGATGCTGGAATGCAGAATAATGAATCCAAGCACCAAAGGATGATGGGGAATCAGGATCCCTTACAATTCCTGCAACAAAAACAGCAATGAAGCAACAAGAACTTCCAATGTAATAATTAGGATAAAGGACTCAAAGCATTACTTATAATGGCAGCAGAGCCAGTAATGATCATTGCAAAAACTTCTAGAGTGAGGAACATGAAGAATTCCCATTTGTTCTTCTGCAGTTACAGTTCACAAATAGATCAGATGAAAGAACACACTCCCATTGAAGAAACAATGAATTTTTTTTAAAGGCCATAATTCTCTTTCTAATGTTACAGGGAGTAATTCAGTAAGATTCTCAGAGAGAGAGAGAGAGAGAGAGAGAGAGTACCATGATTTTATGTCAACTTTATCAAATTTCATTGTTGATTATACGCTGGTGGCAAGCTTTCAGGATTTGTTGCTTGAGTATCTTAACTCAAATACAATAGAGAAGGCAGATACATTAAATCACAACTGCGCAAATACGAAATCACAACAGAAACATGTACCTTTCCTATGCAATTAGATACCCAAGGGCAGTGGTGGTCAAACTGCTCCACGCAACGATCACATGTAGAACAATGTTTCGAACGAACAGGTCTGACTATCTGTAATGAAGATGTTAGGAAATCTGATCCATGAGAATAACAATCAAGGAAAGAGACAACTGAATTGCTCAATCAAGTGACTTACTTTGCACGTTATACAAAGTTGTGACCAGTTGCCAGAAACAAGTGCAGGATTTTCTAACTCCATCTTCAGCAATGGTTCCTGAAGGAACAAATGCGTGTGATTTAGACAGCAAAATTTGGGATTATGTTTTGACTTTTGAAGTCTGGAAATGCATCAAGCTAAAAGAACCAAAGTTCAATCAGAAGATAAAATTACATGCAGGAAACTACATTAATTAATGGGTACTTATATTTTAAACTTACATCATCCCTTTGATTTTGTGAGCTCCTTGTATTGATGTAACCTGGATCTTTCCTGCATAAAGCAATTGTCAATGTCATGATGGTGTTGAATGATAAAGGCTGCCTATATATCTATATCTTGTGCGTGATATTATGAAAGTAGTAGGATAATTATACGACAAAACAATAGATATTTGTTATTAAAAATGATATAATGATTTAAATAATTTGGTGTCTATCTGAGCATGCAAGAGTTGATCAAACAGTCAGCTACTAAAAATCGGTTTAAGATATATCACACAAAGTTTTAATTTTCCATGCTCCACAAGGTGCATAAATTGAGAGAGTTTAACCAAATACCAAAAAAAAAAATCACAGACCCACAATATTATCAAGAAGTAATAAGTACTTCCTCCGATCGAAAATATAAAGTCCATTTAGGTTTGTCCTAAGTTAAAAAAAAAGTTTGACTAGCAATATCTACACAAAATGTATTATATTAAATGAAGAGAGGTTTATCCCAAGGATTTTACATAATGAATCTAGAATTGTCAATGTACATAAGATTTTAGATATTGGTGGTCAATGTTAAACTAGTTTGACTTAGGACAAACCTAGATCAACTTACATTTCTGATCAGAGGAAGTAGTAACTGGCGATCAATGCCCTCAGGTCTGGTTTGACCAAAACTATCAACAGAATGCAAATTTTAGAAATACCTGCTACATTTATAGAACATGACCAACCCAGCAGTTGCAAGAAAAACTCCTGACCATGCTAATATCCCAAATGGTGTTGTCATAGTCATGGCATATTGTCCTGAGGAGACCAGCAATAACATATTACAGAAGATCAAGATAGTGAAAAAACATAAAGATGCTACTCAATTTACCTGATATAACAGAGTGTATATATGTAATAAGCATGCCAATAATGGTGCACCAAAGAAGAGGAGCAAGCCCTAATTTTGACAATTTCCCAAATCTGGTGTTTGCACCACATCCTCTGTCGTGTACCCTTCTAGCATTGTCCTGAAAATATTGGTAATACAAGTAAGCAAATGGAAGGACATTTCAGCTCACAATATGATCACTCTTATCCAGCTTAAGTGGTAAATAGAAGGTAACCATTTAACCATTTACAAGAGCAATCACAAGTCATTAACTGATCATTAAGAAGTTCATATGGAATCTATGAAACCTATATCAGAGAGCATTTAAACATTAGAAAGGTGCCAGGTCACACTAAACCAAATCATTTTCCTCCTTGGTTACCTCTGTTTCAGTATTTTAACATCTAGTTCTTACTTCAAAATTCAGAGGAAAATTACCACTAAACAGATTAGACAGCATGTTATGATGCTCCTAATCGGTTAACAATAATTTACAGGGAAACAGGCATACAAAACATACAACGATCCAAACAATTAATCCTTAACAGTAACATGTCTGTATATTAGCAATCCATGTGCCACAATCAAAACTTAAAAATAGAGCATCCTTTACAACAATCATTAGCAGCTAGTAGTCTAGTGTTATATTACCATTTTATTTCATTACTTTCTTGCTCTTTTAGTTCATGTGTCTCATGTCAGGTTTCATCTAAAGACTACCCCAACTTGCTTACAAAACCATAGTAAGAAACTTGCTGCCATGTGAAACATAGGCATAGGTATTCGCGTAATAAATGGAATATGAATCTGGATAGCTAGCTAGGGAAAGTAGCACAGAAAGGAATTCAAGCATGGGCAAGGTGTGATTAACGGACTAGCGTAAAACAGGATATCCCTCCTTTTCGATTAGAGGACTAGTTCAATTAATGAATTCGAGTGAGGAAGTCATCTAGCAGCAATAAGATATTAATTGTAGCTGGCTCTGGAAGATAGGATCAATCCGTCATGGCAAGATGGGGATACCCGGAAATAGGAAAGGAAGAAGTCAATAGTCAAGGCTAATGTGTCTCACTGGGGCAGTTAGGAAAGTATCAGATGGTAATGCTAGGACATTGGGACTCTTGACTCTTACGACGCTGCAGAAACAGGACTTCAAGTAGATTACTTAAATATAAATGTCACGGTTAATTTTACTCACGAGGAAAAATGCAACTTGCCGATGATTCTTATCGGCAGCAAGCTGTGCTGGAGTTAATCCAGTTTTGTCTTTTACCATCAAATCATCCTTTTTGCCAACCTGAACTAAGACAGTGCATGCCTCAAGGTTCCCCCGAATAGCAGCCCAATGTAAAGGAGTACAACCTAAGAGTAGCATTTGCAGTTAAAAGGAACAGCAACCAAATAAGCTGATATAATTACCAAAGGAATGATTATAAATAATATAGGCATGAGATAAATTTACACATGCCTTCTTTGTCTTGCCGTCCCCTATAAGCATCCAAAACAAAAGAAGCCGTATTGAGTCTGCGAATCCCTTTATAAGCAGCCCTAGAAGGGAATATGTAAAACAGAGAGAGAAATAAGCAGCAAAATGTTAAAATTCAGCAGGGCAGTATGTTACAAAGTGCACAAGCAGAAATTACAAGGAGACAAATGAGAAACATATTATAACACAAGTACAAACCAGTGTAAAGGGCTCCTTCCATCATTATCAGGGATATCTGGATCAGCATTCCATTTCGCAACAATGTGGTATATGAATGCAGTCTGACCATACTGTGCTGCAACATGTGTGGCCTGAACACAGAAGTATATTGACTTAAAGAGCTGCGGCAAATTCTCTGCATAATCAACTTCAGTGATTCTTTTTTCCCCTAACCCAGAACAATCACATGACCAAAGTATGTTTTTAGTCTACTATTAAACTCTGACCTGGTAAAGTGGATATAATTGGTCAGCTGCAGATATACATCCAAAACTGCTTTAGTTGGCTACCGGTTGTCAACGAACGATAGGCAGTTAAAAGTGGAGACAGGCACAACAAGGACCAAAGAGGCAAAGAAACAGCAGGGAAGAGAATACAGACCTGATACCCATATAAATCAGCAGCATCCACCTTAGCTCCTTCTTTCAGAAGTAGTTCGCAACTTGAATATGACCACGCACAGCACTCCAGTGAAGTGCTGTTTGTCCAGTGTGATCCACAGCATTTATGTCTGCTCCATGCTATTCAAATACAAGCACGAAATCATCACCAAAGGGAACCAAGGAAATCCAATCAACAACAGTCATCAACCAAAGTAGCTAATATGCCTTTCAACCACAACCACCTGATCAGAATAACGAAGTGATATCTACTATGACACCAAGATACAAAATAATCCGCATCATCACAACATGGGTATTGCATGAGATCATGCATTCATGCAATAAAAGCCATATCATGAGCAGTAATCATCTTGGTCTAGACTATATCCTAAGCATATCATTTACACATTTGATCTAAATTGAAATGGTTGAAGGCACAAATAGAAGTAGCTAGTTGACACCGCAAGGCCATCCACATTCCTCCTGAACTGTCCTGTTGCAACTGTCTGCAAGTATATTTGATCCAGATGTACCAACAACCTACACCCATCCAAATCCTCCTCCACATAAACCAGCCCTGAAATTCCAAACCCACCACCACGGCAAAGCATTCAGCTCGCAGCTGCACACTTGTTCACAAACAAGGATGCCTCGGCCATAGAAACTGACAGGAATGACGACCACCGAAGGTGCATGGCTCCTCCACGCAATTACACAAGCAGCCCACGGTTCTGGCACACAAAATTCCAGCTCAGAAAGTGCATTGCATCGCAACGCAGCCTACTGAACGTACCCTAAATCCCCCAATAGCAACGCAAAGCGAACGACTATATATATGTAAATATAAAAGGCCAATTTGCGAGGCGTTGGAGGGGGCGCGGGAGCCGGGGGAGAGGGCAACCTCGAGGATGTACTGGGCGGCGGCGACGCGGTTGTTGAGCGCGGCCCACTGGAGCGCGTGGTAGCCCCCGCCGTCGGGCTCGGTGACCGGACGGCCCTCCCCCTCCACCAGCCGCTGCAGCTTCTCCAGATCGCCGTACGCCGCCGCGGTGTACACGTCGTTCTTCAGCGACTCGTCCTCCGCCGGCGCCCCCGCGCCCTCCGCGGCGGAAGGGGCCGCGGCCGCGGCCGCGACGAGGGAGGTCGAGGAGGTGGTGGTGTCCTCGAGCACCTCGATCTCCGACGCCATGGGTTCGGTGGGATCGGGGCGGGGTCCGGGGAGGCGGCGAGGGAGGGAGGCAGGAAGGGTCGGAGTGTTTTGACTCGGCGCTGGGCGTTCGTTGATTTTGCGTAGCGTTTGTCCCTGATGACTCGTCAGGAGCGGCCGGAGTCGGAGGCGGAGAACGAGAGGGAAGGTTGGGCCGAAATGGGATGTTGGATTTTGCATGTCAGGACCCCGGATTTTTCTTGTTTCAAGATTTCGGCCTGTCAAACCTGAGGATTTGAGTGCACAAATTCTGGGACCTGTTTGATTGCCAAGATCAAATGGCCGGCTATGTTCTTTACTACTCCCTCCATCCCAAATTGTAAGTCATTCCAAGAATTTTGGAGAGTCAAATTTTTTCAAGTTTGACTAAAATTATAGAGAGAAACACAAAGATTGATGACATCAAATAGGTATAATATGAAAATATAACTAATGAAGAATCTAATGATACTTACTTGATATGATAAATATTATTATTTTGTTATATAAATTTGGTCAAACTTGAAAAACTTTGACTCTCCAAGATTCTTGGAATGACTTATAATTTGGGATGGAGGGAGTACTTTTTTAGGTGCGACCATGCCTGTTTGATTGCTCGACCCACCATGAGCCGCCTCCGCAGACGCTCGTAAAGCAAAGAAGATGTCGATCCGAGGATTTTCGTCATGAGCCAGCTCACAGATCCACGAAAGCGAGCGCTGCAATTACCTCTGGATCGAAATCTCCTGAACCCTGAGTCGCCCCCTCCCCACCTCGCCATGGGCAGCGCCGCCGCCATCGGGAAGCTGACGCAGGATGACCTGAGCGCTCTGCCGAGGGTCGCCGGCGTGCCCACCTCCCTCAAGGTGGATCCAGCGGCCGAGGAGCTCGCGCTTCATCCACGCCGAGGGGCGAAGCCACCGCCGCCTCTAGGATAATCGCGGCAAAGAAGGTCACAAGAAGCACCGCCAAAGAAAGCGCAGGAGCGATGGTGCTCACCACGCTGGACCTCGACCACCGCAACCGCGAGTCTGAGCTCCTCGTGCCCGCGCGTCACTATGCTGTCTCCATGCTCGACGCCTCCTTTCTCCACGACAGGGACGCGGACGAGGCGACATGGCCTGACAAGGCTACCATGGGGAGGAGGCGACCAGTGCGCCACCGCAGCAGTGGCGGAAGCCTCGATCACCTCCTCCCCGCTGCCCTCCCCACGGACCACGGTGTCCTCATGAGCGCTTTCTTCACAGGCTTCTCCCTCAAGGTGGGTTTTTCACTCGAGCGTAAAATACTTCAAATTTCTCTTCCCAAATGAAAGCGTACCAATGGCAGAGACATGGCGGTGGCCTAGGCACCTTGACGCAATTGTGGCAAAAGAACGCTCATCTACCAAGTCCATGTATGCAAGGTGTTTGTGCAAATGTGTTAGAAGAACGGTAGTCGGTGCTGGGAAGAAGAAAGGGGTAACTCTACCCATGACTTGATGCAGGTAACCATATTTGCTTGTGCAAATTTACCAAACAATGTTCGATCCTCAAAGATGGCTTAGTTTTTGGCACAAAAACAAACAGGAGAAGTTGCACCTGGATGAACATGTTCCAATCCAAAATGGCCTCTCGGCCGACCACATGAGCCACCTTTGTCCAGTAATCAAACAGAGAGCATCTTCATGAGTTCCTAAAATTTAGTTCTCACAATTCTTAAGTTTTTCAAGTCGCCAAAAATAATTAGGAGCAACAAAGAAGGATCTCCCCAACAATTTCCAAAAACTAACTCATTAAATGTCAAAAGATTAAACTTCGATTTCGTTGTCGCCACGGTCCGAGCCTCCCTGTCATTTCGGGCAAGGTCGCTCATGTCGATCCCGTGGATGCCTCTCGACTTCAAGAGCTCCTAAGCATCCGTACTTTCATACCGGATCACACATAAGTATGCACCAAATCACAAGAATGGTACATGATATATATATATATAAAAGGTTTCGAGCTTTATTGATATCTAAAAATAAGGTCTTGCAACAAGGGCCCAACGGGCATGGTCATACACTACATAACTAGCGGAATACTATGATCATGAAACGACATTATTGGTAGTCTCTAGAGCGGGATTATTATACAACGGTTACGTCCTATTCCACAGCAACTTGAGCGTGGCGAAACTCTAGCCTCGATGTCATACTCCTCACGTAATGTATTTCCTTATGGCAATCCTAATCCTCGTGGTATATTTCCTCGTCAAGTCATAGTCTTCCTCCGCATCGAGGTTTGTAGGTCAACAACGGGTGAGTATATACGCATTTCAAAGAAGCCCTAACCATAGGGTAGAAATAGAACCGTAGTGGTGATTATAATTAAGGGTTGGGTCCTAGCGAGTATTACCATTCCCACTAGTACCCAATTAGCATCAATTCCATTACCGCCCATTACACATAAAAGTAAATTTAATTATAGTATCCCATCATAGCATTTGCCCATTCCAAGGACATGATTATTCAATAGGTTAGTTAACTCTCAGAGAGGTGTACAAATTTCTCCACACGATAGGTGCAACCTCATCCATGATCAAGGATGAAATGGACCTTACAAGACCTCGACCAATGTACGCCACCTTATATGTCCATATAATTCTACCGTGGCTTCTCGTGGGTTGGAAACACAAATACCGTGAAGATACCTAATCGTCTCCAACGTGATGATACCAAATCATCACAAAAAAATGACATGGTTCGAACACGGCCAAAAAGAAAGGGCTCGAACGCGGCCAAAAACCAAAAGCTTAACATGGAAGATCACATAGCATCCACGCCAACCCCACCATAGAAGAAAACCTATCCTCGTGGTCGGCTCCCCGATAATCCGCCACCTACACTAGCCTCCTAGTATAAATTATACTTCTATCTAACGGGTGTGAAATCAAGCCACCCATATAGACATGTGGTCGTATCGTAATATCTCACTAGGCGAGAGGGACTACGAACCGGTCCTTATGTGATCGAGGCGAGTATCTCCCACAGAATCCTCCTCCAGTATCCTCGCCATGGTAAACTACCTCCATAGTTTACCACTCACTGCCCCCTGTCGGGGTTTAGTTTCGTGTTTAACAATTTTAGGTTCCATTATTATCCCTAAATCTATTCATAACGTGGAGCTCATAAAATAACAAGATAACTATTTATCTTAATCATATCACAATAACCGAGCTCATATTCTAGGGTAATATTCTTAGTCATGTTTTAGCATTTTAGTGGTTTAAAGCAAGACGGTAGTGAGGGGAGCTAGGACTTGCCTTCTTCGTTGTCACCTTCCGCACGCCTCATTTAAACTTGGGTCCTCGCCACACCGACGATTATCATGCTGCCATTTGCTCTCAAGGCACTGATTGAAATAAGACTACCGCTAACCACAAAAGAAAGAGCAAAAGCAAACATAGAACAATATGGTGGTACTAGGTGCAAATGATATGATTAGATTTTAGATGAATTTTAGAGGTGGTTTCATGTGAAAAGGAGTTAGGGTTTAAGAGTTATATATTTTAGAAGTTTATTCTATAGCTATTTAACTAGGTAGAAACTTATATGCATTTTCTAGTGCATGAAAATATGTGTAAACTATATGATTAAATTCTCTAATGCATCTAGTTTATTTACAATTTTCTGGGAATTTTTCTGAGCTAGGAAAATGTATTTTTAGCTCTCTATGTACACTAGCCAGGTGTACCCAAATAAGCTTTTCTAAAGCGTCATCACTACTGTATGTGGTGTGTGTAAAGGCATGAATGATAGGTGGGCCACCCTACCTACGTCAGCAGAGACGACAGCAGCGGTGTTATGGCCATGGGCCAACACGTCAGTGAAAGAGGGAGAGAGAGGGACGGACGGGAGGCGATGGTAACGGCAACACCGTCACGTGCCTGGCCCACACGTCAGAGGCAGAGATGGGGAGAGAGGGAACGGCGGCGGGCGGGGGTGACCGCCGCGTTGTCGGAACAAGGGAGGGGGAGGCCTGGCTCGCCGGAGTTGGTCACGCCGGTGGCGTTGGTCCTCGGTGGTGACGGGTGATGGGTGTACGATGCTCGCGGGGTCACTTCATGACTAATGGCGGGGTTGCCATCGGCAACGGGTGCCCACGGTGGCGGTGGCGGCTCACTGGAGGGAACGCGGTGGCACTATGCTGCGAACCCAGCCATTCGAGCCTCTACCATCGCAACCGTTGGCGTGTACGTGAGTGCGGGTGAGTGGTGAGTGTGGTGGAGGTGATGTGGTGCTCATGCGACCTTGCCGGTGATGGCCAACGGCCATGGCGGCTCGGCAGAGCAGGTCACGTGGTGACAGCGCAACATAGAGAGGGAGACGACCAACTAGCTAGCAAAAGAGATAGAGGAGGGACTCTGGGACTCACCGGTCACTCTAATCGGCCAAGGACGCAGCAGAGAAGAACATGAGGGGAGGTGGCGCTAATGGTGCTGGTGAACTCCCGAATTAGGGGAAATCGGGAGAGGGTGGAGAGGAAGAGGGGAGAGGTGGAACAGAGGGGGAGATGGTGTGTTTCCACCCTCGGCGGAGCGGATGGTGGTGAGGGCAAGGCGAGAGCGTTGTCGGCCGGGCCTATTTATAGGCCGGCTAGGTTGGTTCCCGGCGGTGAGATATTGTCCCCGATCGCTCTTATCCACCACGCGTGCTCATGGTTGACCTCGCCGAGTCACTTTGCCACACTGGTGCTTGCCCATGCAAGACGCAAAAATGCCTTGGCGGCTACTCCGGGCTGCTCAACAGGGAGGGTGACCATGGCGCCGGCATTGACGAGTTCACAAAGTGAGGGTGGGAGAGGGAGAGGAGGAGAAAAGAGGGTGTTGTGGGGTCCTATGGTCTCATCGTGTCGCTGCTTACCTTCACTGCACCTAGGTGGAGCCAAGGGGGCGCTGACGCCACATGCTGCAGGTTGCACAGACGGCCACAGGCTCGAGGTCAACGACGGTTGACATGCGGGGCTCAAGGCCGCCGAAAGGAGAGAGGAAGGGAGGGAAGGCAAGTGCCAGGCTACCGGGGCTCTCACGGGAGAAGGAAGGGAGAGGTGAGGAGGGAGATGGGTCGCTACTACAGCCGAGTGAGAGAGAGGGAGAGATTGAGCCCAAGTGGCTTTTCTTATTTTCCTTTCTTTCTTTTCTATTTCACAGATTATATATGCATATATGTTTAAATGATTTTGAATTCAAAGTCAAATGCAACTTTGAAATAAAGAACCACCATATGTTCAACAAGCAAGCAAACACTTAAGCACACAAAAATTTCACACATCTAGTTTGTTTTCCTATGTTAATTTATTTTGTTAATATTACTTATGTTGGTTATATACTCTAGTTCCTATGCAAAGTTTTAAAAAGTTCAAATTTTTAGTGATTTTTAAACTAGGTCAAATTTTAGGGTGTTACACACGGTTGGTGGCCGCAGGCGGCGAGGCCCACCATGTGGACTCAAACTCGAAGCATGTGCCCTAGCTAACCTCTCACGCCACGCTTGCTGTGGTCACTAAGCTCGACTCCGCCCGCACTCAATCGCTGTCCCTCGATGAAGTGCACGCATGGGCGCACTCCCACGCACGTGCCGGTGTGAGGGAGAAGAAAGCCCAGGAAACCAGGCGTGAGGAGGATACGTGACGCATACTGCACGTATTTTTCTGTGGGGGAGGGGGGCTCGGGTTTTTCAAGTGCCAAAAGTTTGGAAGGGGAGCATGCGAGCCTGGACCTAGACGACCGAAATGGGACGCCTAGGAGGCCGCCTGCGCCTGCACAAAATTCCACAAGAGA